GATGGAGGTCTCTGTTATGTAAGTTGAAGACTGGGCCCAGCCCCCTCAATCCCAGTTCTGGGAATTGAGCCCCAGTTTTGAAAACCTGGGAGAACACTTCACGAGGAAGTTCCTCTATCACGCCTTCCCACTCCCCTTCCTCCTGTGCTGTGGGGCATGGCACTTTCACCAGGTCCTGCTCTTCTCTGGTAGGGCAGGTAAGGGATGCCAGGTAGTGAGAGAGAGAACTCAAATCCACTGCCATCCAGTCGATTCCAACTAATAGTGACCCCCTCATTGGGGGGAGCTCTGGTAGCGTAGTGGCTAAGACACTTGCCTGCTAACCAGACGGCTGGCGGTTCAAACCCACCAGCCACTCCTCGGAAGGAAGGTTGGGCAATCCTACTTCCGTAGTGATACTGCCTCAGAAACCCAAGGAGGGGTCGCTATGAGTCGGGGCCGACTCGACGGCACATAACAACAACAACAACATTGGGTTTTCAAGGCTGTAAAGCTTTATGGAAGTAGATTGCCTCATCTTCCTCCCACAGAGCAGCTCGTGGGTTTGAATAGCCATTTACCTTCTGGTTAGCAAACAGATGCCTTATCCACTCACTGCCTTACCAGAGCTGGACTGAATTACTAAGGATTCAAGAACACCTTGAAGGGAAAGAAAATACCCTTGTCCCACTGCCTTTCTGTGTGGACTTTCCTGCCTTATCAGATAGGAGGGGCTGTTTGATGTGTTAATACACAGTGAAGGCTTAGAGCAGTACCTGATACATATAGTGACGTGGTGGTGGTGGTGGTGGTTTTATTCTTAGGTCTCTTTGCCCCTTGCTACTGCAGAGGAACTTCCTTGATCCTTGCTCTGTAAATATGCCTAGGATTTCTGGCAGGTAAAGCCAAAGTCACAGTGAACATTTGTTTGTTCCTGCCCTTAAGCACTTTTTACCTAGCCTCCTCACTAAGGACTCTGCTTGCTGGAAGGTGTTTACTCTTTATTTTCTGTAATCTTGGTATTTCTCTGAGTAGAAGCCAGGTAGCTGCTGAAGGGAGGGCCTGGTCTGGCCCTGATGACCTTCAGAGGAACCTCTGGCCCAGCTAAGGGCCTGGGCTTCTGCAGTCACCCCAGCAGGCTCTCAGCCTGGGAAGCCTGGCCCATGACCTTCTGCCTCCCCCTAGTTCCTTGACCGCACAGTCTCTTGTTTGTGAGAGAAATGTCAGGTGCTTTATTGCCATGGGTTGGCACCCACTTACAGACCAGGAGGGAAGCCAGGTTCCTGACAAGAAACCTTGGGAGCCATAGAGCAGGTTCTGTGGTGGCTTTTCTTCCAAGACTTTCTTGCAGGCATTGTTGGCTGGGCTAGATGGGAGGCCTGTCAGAAGCAGGCTGACTGGCAGGAGAGGCTTGCTCTGTCCTAGGGAGCGAGGAGGGGTTGGGGTGGGCGGAAAGGTCTGGTGAGCGGTGACAACTGTGGACTGTCTGCACCGTGGGAGTTCTCAGGAGACTGGGGATCCAAGGCCAAGGTTGCTCATCTTCTAGAAGTTGCCATCCAGGCACCCTCCATTCTAGGTAAAAGAACCAGCTGCCCCTGCCCTTCCCTCTCATCAGGGTTCTTGGAGGCAGGTGGAGTGGATTGGAAGGCAGGCATTTTATTCTCTTTCTCTGAGCAGGTGTGCCTGAGGTGAGGTCAGGTTGCCAGGCTGGGTTGGGTCTACATGCCCCGGGCTATTGGGCCTGCTGGGCCTGTCTTCTGTGAGTTGGTGGTGCCTCAGGGCTGGCACTGGGCTGGCCCTTTGGGAGCACAAAGGGCCACAGAAGGAGCCTGAGGTCTCCTTGGCTCCTGTCTTTTCAGTGATTTAATGACAGGTCCTTACTGTTGGAGAACTTTGGCTCTGCCTGGAGCCTAGAAGTGGCCAGAGAAGGGTTGGACAGAGCATTTGAGAGGATGGACAGCTGTATGGTATATGTGTAGGGGGACCAGCAGGGAGCGGGAATTGAATGGAGGAGCTGATGGGCTGGGTAGAGGAGGGGCTCTGTGTGACCCCCCTCCCCCCCACAGCTATGTGTTGTCCCATAAGGGCCAGGCTGGGTTAGCTTTGTACTGTCTGCGTCTTTGGACTTGATCTGGGCAGAGAAAGCTCTAGATACAGAGAAATATTGATGAAGGTCACTACAGTTTAAAGGGTGATGTCTGTTACCTGTTCTGCTAAATAGAATAGAGTGTTGGGAATTGTGTGCTGGGTAGAGTGGAGGTGGGCATGCATCAGGGGAGTTGGTGTTTAATCAGGGACTCTGGCTCCTAGCTCTGTGCCCATTGCCCTCTGGGAGCTGGGAGGGGGTGTGGTTTGGGTCAGAGAGAACACAAAGCCACCCCACCCAGTCCCATGTCCAGTGCACCAGGCCCCCAAACTCCACCCCTGTCCACCTGGATGTCCTCAGGGAGTGTGCTTCCCCCTCCCCCTCAGGGCCATTTCAAGATAACTCCAACTTCTTCCTAAGATTGCCAGAGTGGGTTAGTCAAACCCTCTGTCATCCAACACTGTAATCACTTGCCACATGGGAGGACTGGACATTTGAAATGTGGCTCATCCAAATTGAGATGTGATGGAAGTGTAAAATCCACTCTCTGGTGGCACAGTGGTTAAATGCTTGGCTGTGAACCAAAAGGTCAGTGGTTTGAACCCACCAGCTGCTCCATGGGAGAGATATGGCAGTCTGCTTCTGCAAAGCCCATACCTGAGACACCCTCTGGGGCAGTTCTACTCTGTCCTATAGGGTTGCTAGAACCAGAATTGACTCAATAGCAATGGAGTGGGGAGAATAAGAATGTGAAGTATCTCTCATAAGTTTTATGTTGATTACACATTGAAATGATAATATTTTAGATAAATTGGGTTAAATTATTATCTGATTTTCCCCTTTTTAATTTGGCTGCTAGGAAATTTTAAAGCACATGTGTGGTTCACATTGTATTTCTTTTGGACAGTGTTGCTCCAACCATTTTGAGTAGGAGTAATGACATGAGCAGATGCTTTTATCACATTACCATGTGTCCAGCCCTGTTGTGAGCACTTTACTTTTATTAAATTGTTTAATCCCCACAGCTGACTATGAGGTGGGAACTGCTATTATAGCCAGTGAAACCGGATTGCACAGTTCCCCAGTGGGGGGTAAAGTGTATTGCAAAAACAACTTAAAAATGTGACTTACTTTCTTTTAAAATTTATTTTTCATTAACATTTTTCTGATCCATGAAACATCACATAATCAGTGCATAATCATTTAGAAAATACAGAAGGCTGCGAGTAAGAAAGTAAAAATCTCTCGTAGCCTACCCTGCAGGCTTCCTTGCCCATTAAACATGGTGCTGGTGTGGGCCATCCTCCTCCTGCTTTGGTGCTGCCCATGCTTGTGGGGCATTGGCTCCATCCACGTCATGGCACTCTGGGGGCTGTGCTCTCTGAGGCTTATCCTAGGGCATTATTGGTCCCTTTCCTGGGTCATTGCTACCCCTGGTGGCTACAGCCTGTACACCCGTTTTGGTTCTCTACTGCTGCTATAGTAGAAATACCACAAACAAATGTATTCTCTTACAGTTTAGAAAGCTAGAAGTCCAGATTCAGTGCACCAGCTCTGGGGAAAGGCTTTCTCTCTGTTGGCTCTAGGGGGAAGGTCCGTGTCTCCTTTCAACATCTTTGGGTCCAGTGGTCCTTGGAGATCTCTGTCACCTCCATGTGTCTTGGCATCCCTCTTTCCCTGGGCCAAGGAGATTCTCATGGAGACCCCAGGTCCAAAGGCTGCACTCCTGAGCTCTTCTTTCTTGGTGGTATTGACATTGCCCTCTCACTGCTGCTCTTTTTCTCTCGTTAGATAAAAGGTGATGCACGCCACATGCCAGAGAAACTCCCCTCACGGTGGATCAGGGCTGTGGCCTGAGTAAGGGTGTTGCATCCCACTCTAATCCCCTTACAGCTGATTGGCTGATCACATTAGATCACATCATAAGGATGATTATATCATAACTGCCAGGCTAATAAGAATCATGGCCCAGCCAGGTTGATACAGTTTTTGGGGGTACAGTTCAACCCATGACAATGCCCATCCACCCAGTTCTTCACTTATTTCTGCTAATGAGGTGCCTACCTAGAAGTGGCGAGCACTGTGTGTGAAATATGAGGAAATAAACCTGGGGGAGGCCCTTGGGCTTTCCTGCTTGGCCTTGGTGGCCTCTGTGGCTCTGGCGTTCCCTTGGTCTCTTCTCTGTCTTAACCCTCTTCTGGATAGTTGAGATCATCAAATGACAGACTTCTGAACAGATGAGGTATTAATGTACTTTGGTCAGAAGATTGCAAAGGGCACTGTTCTCAGTCCACCATCAATACCTGCAGGGTCCTGGGAGGGCTGTGGATTGAGGGGGTGGTGTCTGTTACTCCCATGTGAGGCCTGCAGCCAGAGACTGGGGAGTCTTCATGGGTTTGAACTGGGGATACTTGATCTTTTGCTCTTGCAAAATGTTCTGTCTCCTACCAGCTCCCCACCACCTGTCATGGCATTGCTAGTCCTTCCAGTGACAGTGAATTAAACTGGAGTTCTAGAGCCTTAGAGGCTCCTTGTGCAGACTTTGAAAAGTGGGTGGCCTGTTCCAAGGTTGGATCCCTGTGCGATGAGTGTCAGGATGTCCTTGGCCTGCAGACCATCCCTGGTCCATTTTTCCATTAGTACTAAGTCCCTCCTGATGAGTTTCCAGCTGTGTATTCTCTGGGGATGTATTTCTGTGGCTTGTGAAAGATTAGCAAAGATGATGGTGGGGAGGGATGAAGAGTTTTCACAGTAAGTACTGGAGTTGAGCCATATGTTCTCTTAAAACAACAATATGTATCTTCTCACCTTTTCCTTTCCTTTCAAAATGCTTGGAGTGTCCGTGAGGGCTCCTTGTTGGGCGGAAGTGGGTGTCTGTGGTGGGGTCCAGTAGCCCTCTGACCAGTGCTGACTTCCCACACCATCCTTCCTGCAGGTCTGGCCGTGGGTTTGGGCTTCGGGGCACTGGCTGAAGTTGCCAAGAAGAGCCTTCGTTCTGAGGATACCACAGGTGAGCCGGGCCCTTAGGCATCATGTGTTCAGGGAGTATTGGCACAAGGGGCCACCTTGGTGTCGACTCCAGACCACCATTCCTGCTGTCCTGTGTAAAGGTGCTCCTGGAGTGCGGCACTGTTCACAGGACAGGCAAGGTTTACCTGGGTCCTGTGATTAAGGACTTGGCTGCTAACTGAAAGGTTGGAGGTTTTTGTCTACTCAGGGGCACCTGGGAAGAAGGGCCTGGTGATCTTCCAAATTAGTCACTGAAAACTGGAGCATGGTTCTGCTCTGGGAGCTCTGGTAGTGTAACGCCTAAGGCATTTGACTGCTAACCAGAAGGCTGGCTGTTCAAACCCACCTGGCACTCCTTGGAAGGAAGGTTGGGCAATCTACTTGTGAGTGATACTGCATTGGAAACCCAAGGGGGGTTGGAGTTTATGGTGTTTTTGTTTTATGGTTCTACTCTGACACACATAGGATCACCATGAGTTGGAGTTGAGTTATTGGCAACTGTGTTTTTTTTTTTTGTGTGTAGAGTATGTGAAGGAGCTCTGGTGGCATAGTGCCTAAGGTGCTTGCCTGCTAACCAGAAGGTTGGTGGTTCAAACCCACCAGCCACTCCTCGGAAGGAAGATTGAGCAATGTACTTCTGTAGAGATACTGCCTCGGCAACCCAAGGAGGGTTCGCTATGAATCAGGCCCGACTTGACGGCACACAACAACAACAAAAACAGAGTGTGTGAAGTCTTAAAGGTCTCCCCCCACTTCTGGCCTGTGTGTTCACCTAGCCCTGTCTGTTTGGCACAGCTGTATTCCTCAGCTTCAGGCTGATGCTTGGCCCCTGCACTCACCTCCTGTCCTGGCCCTGCTTCTTGGGGAAAACTCTCTTGGGGCCTCTCTCGTCCGGTTGGGCTGGTGCCTGTGCACCCATTTGGCTGTGGTGAGGGAAGTGGCAGCCTGCATGCAAACAGGTGGCTGGAAGAAGGGAGGTGTGCTGCTGGGGACAGACCCCACGGGTCCCCACTGTGTACCCATTCCTTGATGAGGGAGGCCCAGGCCCTTTCTGGGCCTTAGACTCTGTCCCTGCAGTGGGGGTGATTGTCCTCTGCTCCTGCTTCACAGAGTGAATCTGAGTGCCATGGTTATAGTTGGTGCAGGTGGCCCGATGTCAGCCAGCACTCTGTCCTGCAGATGGCTCCACAGGGACCTGGGGTGTTCATGATGCTATGATGACAAGTGGGAAGCAGCAGAGGTTTTACCCCTGCCCCCATTCCTACCTATGAGGGGCCCAGTGTGGGTCCTAGTGTGGGCTCCCTCCTCCAGACCTCTCTGGGCATGAGAGTGGGCATGGGTGTGTGAACACTGCTCAGGAGTTTCTCTTTAGCAGGGCTGTGGACTGGGGCCACCTGTCCTCGGCCCATTCTAGAGGGCTCATTCTGGTATCTCATACTTGCTCCCCCACCACCATTGCCCTGGGGGGGGGGTTTCCCCCATGAGCAGGACTCTGTCCTGCCTGCAGTCAGCTCCCTGGGTGGCCCCTCCTCCTCTTCCATGAGACCTTCTGTGGGGACCCTCCTGACAAGGAGGGTACTAGCGCACCCCCCCCCTGACCCTAAGCCGTGGGAGGATGAAGTGTCAAGCATGTCCTTGGAAGAGGCTGGAGGGCAAGGAGGATTTAGCGGGCGTATTTTTAGCATGGATGCTGAGATGCTTTTGGAAATGAAGCCAAGGTTTCTTTGGAATGGGAGGCAAGCCTGGCACAGACACGGTGTCATCGCTACCTGCCCCTCCCCAGCTTCCTGTCATTCCACCTGTCCAAGCAGGGAAGAGGTCAGCCAGCTCTAGGGTCACAGTTGGTATCTTTTATCAGGGACAGTGGTAACTGGGCCCCTGTGGTGAGGAGGTCAGGGGTCAAGGGGCTCAGGTCCCATTAGCTCTGAGAGCAATCCCCGGGGCCCAGGCCAGGGTCAGTAGCTCGAGGCAGCCACCAGGCGAGGCTCCAGTTTTCTTGACCCATTCTGCCCTCTGGGATCCTTAGAAGGAACCTGACCCCTTTCCACATATCTGCTTTCATGTGTTGGCCAGAGCTGCGTGTTCTCTTTTGCAGACTGACCCTCCCAGGGCCTTCAATCCCTGTGTCCCAGTGACACCCTGGTGCAGAGGCCTGCTAGATGCACATCCCGGACCTGCTTTCCCAGAACACTGGTTACACTCCCCCACTGGGGATGAGTCTTCATTGTCCCCAGCACTTAGGACCTTGCCGAGGGGTGTGCTCGTGTGGGGACGGGACTCCCTGTGTGGAGTTGGGAGACAAGGGGAAGAGGACCCGAGAGGAGGCCTAGCACTTGGAAGGGGAAGGGGAGGAGTTCTCTTGGATGGGCGTCACTGGGCTTGAAAAATAGCCTTCTTGGTCCACCACCCTCCCTCCACACTCTACACTCTCCTTTCTTTGTTGGCCCTGGGTACCTGCTGTCTTGCCCTGCAGCCCGTGTAGGTGTGGTGCCCAGAATGAGGGCTGAGCCCGGCAGGGGCCTCTGAGCAGAGGTGGAGGGGGGTGTATATTCTTGAGACCTCTCCTTTGCGGATAGGACTCTGATTATAGCCGCTGACCCTATGTGGCAAATGTGCAGTAACCCCAAGGGTGCGGGTGACCTTTGCACACTCATGGCGGGGGTATGAGCTGACTTGGCAGTTCTCCTTGCCTGGGGTGCTACTGATTGGATCCTTCTTGGCCCCTCCCTGCTAGGGCCTGCCCCACTCCCCACTGGCCTTCCCCTTCCCTCTCCTACCCCAGGTCCTGGGGTATCAATAGGAGGGGGAGCCCTGTGTGTGTGTGGGTGGGAGAGGGGTGCAAGAGTGGGTCCCCAAGGGCAGCCCAGTCTTGTCCAGCACTGGGAGAGGTTAGTATGGGTTGTGGAGTTATACTGCACATTTGCTCTTGTGCCCAGGAGAAAGTAGATGTTTAGAGAGTCCCCTCTGTGTCAGGCTTGGTGATGCTCTACTTTCACCCCCCTTCTGCAGACAGGACACTGAGGCACAAAGACAGTGTAGAGTGTGCCCGAGGGCCCACAGCCGGCAGTGGTGGACCAGGGTTAGACATGAGCCTCTGAGCCCAGAGATGCATATCTGTGGGTCCCTTCAAATAACTGAAGCCCCGGTCCGTTGGGCATTGCACAGTTGGGTGGCGCTGGGCCCTGAGGGCATGTGAGAGCGGGTGGGTGTGGGTGAAGCCCCATTTGTACCTACAGGAGTCTGTTGGATGCCACTGTGGGGGTGATGGGCCAGGCAGGAGGACATAGCCCCTGCCTCCTGCCTCCCTGCCTCTTGCTCCTTCTCCACTGGGGTTGAGGCGGGTTGGGTTTGGAGAGGCCTCAGAGAGCCCAGAGAGGGAAGGCCATGGTGACCTCTCCTGCCCACAGGGAAGAAGGCCGTGTTGGACTCCAGCCCCTTCCTGTCTGAGGCCAACGCCGAGCGCATTGTGAGCACGCTGTGTAAGGTGCGCGGGGCTGCACTCAAGTTGGGACAGATGCTGAGCATCCAGGGTGAGTGGGGGCGCCTGGCCACTCACGGGGTGGGGACGGGGCACTTGGTTGTGAGGCCTGAACCACAGAAGTGGGGCCTGGGGTACACAGGCTGCTCTCCGGCACCAGGGACCACTCTGCTCCTTGCAAGCTTCCGGAGTTTGGCTGGCCGTGGGATGGGGTTGAGTTGAGGAGGGGTGTGTCTGATGAGAGTCCATAGGTAGTGCAGATGGTTAACTGTGTCTGCCTGCTAACTGAGAGGTTGGAGGTTCAGCCCCACCCAGAAGTTCCTCAGGAGAAAGGCCTGGAGATCTGCTTCTGGAAACTCGGCCATTGAGAACCCTGTGGAGCCCAGTTCTCCTCTGACACACGTGGGGTCACCATGAGTCGGAGTCAACACCATAGCAACTGGTTTTGGTTTTGAGGGTCTGTTAAATAGATGATAGGAATTCTGTGTGGAATGTTATGCTGCTGGTAAAGGTGCTATTTTAAAATGTTTTAGAAAAAATTTTAATAACCTGGGAAGTGTTGCTAGAACAGTCTTCATACAGTGAGACTCCAAATATGAAAAAAAACTGCACATAAAAAGCAGAAAAGGGAAAGTAGTAGTTAGTTCATGACTACTAACCAGAAGGCTGGCAGTTCAAACCCACCAGCCACTCCTCGGAAGGAAGATGGGGCAATCTACTTCCGTCGTGATACTGCCTCGGCAACTCAAGGAGGGGTCGCTATGAGTCGGGTCCGACTTGACGGCACATAACAACAACAGGGATCTGATGGTGGGTGATTACAGTATTTCACTAAACTTTTCTTTATTTTCTAAATGTGTTTATTTACTTATTTTAAAATAATCTTTAGAACTATACCGTTATTCCTAAAAAAAAAATAATAATCAACCTTCTTGGGTTGCCAGGGGAGTTCAGATCCCCAGCTGAGCTGTGTGGCCCAGGCTGACTGCTGACCCACCTGCTGGACGCCCAGTTGAAGGGCTTCCTAACAATGGGGCTCCAGGGGCTGCTGGAGGGCCTGGTTTGTCCTCACACCATGGGTGACATGTGCTTGCTGGGCTGCTGGTGTGTCTGTCCCCAGCTTACCTGTCGGCTACAGTCCCTGGTGTGCACCCGTGCTGGGTCAGTGCAGGCCTGTTGGCCCTTCTGGGGCCCTTTGCACACATATAAGTAGCATGCTCGTTGGGTGGGAAAAATGCTCCCAGGTGCTGGGAGGGAGTTGAGGTGGTGCTGTTGTTGGCTTTGGGGTCATCACTCACTGTGTCTGCACCTTATTTCCATGTTGGCAAAAGGGCAACAGCACCTCTCCACCCCATCCCCACCAGGTGCTGGAGCTTCCGAAGATGGTGTTTGTGGAGGGTGATTGTCGAGGTCTTGTGTCTACTCTGTTACTGGCCTGTGTTCTTTCCTTCTAAGGACTTAGTTGTCTGTTCTCTGCACTGAGTTTTCCCATGCTTTCCAGATGACGCTTTCATTAACCCCCACCTGGCCAAGATCTTTGAGCGTGTGAGGCAGAGTGCTGACTTCATGCCCCTGAAACAGATGACGGTGAGCCCTGCTGTGCATGGGGTGTGGGATTTGGGTCTTCCGTAGTGATACTGCCTTGGAAACCCAAGGAGGGGTCGCTATGAGTTGGGTCTGACTCGAGGGCACATAACAACAGCAGCCCCTATTCCTGGGGTCTGAGTTCAGTTCCTTTCATGGGTGGGGACTGAGGCAGCCCGGTGGGAGCTGGGTTGGCTCTGGGATGCTGCTCAGGATGTCCTGTGTGCTGTGGCTGGGCTCATGTACCCCGGCCTCTCCCTCAGAAAACTCTCAACCATGACCTGGGTCCCAACTGGCGGGACAAGCTGGAGTACTTCGAGGAGCGGCCCTTTGCAGCTGCCTCCATTGGGCAGGTGCACCTGGCACGCATGAAGGGAGGCCGCGAGGTGGCCATGAAGATCCAGGTAGGTCTGGTGGGAGTGCACATGGACATGCGTGGGCTCCATCCCACAGTCAGGGTAGTCCCTGCTGAGCTTGTCTTCCTAACCTAGTGCTTGGTTGGCAGTGGTTGCTTAAGGAGTATTTGCTGAACGAATGGGAAATAGAATGGCCTTCCAGCAAATGTGATTTGGGTTGAGTGAGGATGGGGACACGTGATTCCTAGCATTGGGGGCCTGAGCTGAAGGGGTTCGGGCCCTGAGTTGGGCTGCTTCTCCTGGCCTCTGTCCTCTTGCATTTCAAAGTCGCAGAGTCTAGAGAGGGAGGACAGACCATATTTTTCTTCTGCCTCTTCCTTCATCCTTGAGCTGGCATTAGCCACCCTGTTTCTTCTCTTTTGGGGGGGGTGTGGGGTGCAGAAGGTGAGGGAGAATAAGGTGGTGATGGGGCCTGGGGTCACAGTGGTCTTGGATCTTAGCTGCTGATTTAAGATGTGGGGTTGGTGGGACACAGCTGGGAAGCTGACAGACTTAGGGAGGAGACCCCAAGAAGGGCCTTGCCTGTCTGCCTGGGGTCAGTCACTCCCTTACCTCCCCTGCAGTACCCTGGTGTGGCCCAAAGCATCAACAGTGACGTCAACAACCTCATGGCTGTGCTGAACATGAGCAACATGCTTCCTGAAGGTCTGGGCAGTGCCGTTGGTCAAGGGCATAGGCAGCAGCCTCTTGGGAGAGGGTGGCCAGCGTCTGGGATGGACCCCTGTAGGGGCCAGGGCTGGGCCCTGTGGGCACTGAGCCCCCCCTGACATCCTCCTCCCATCCCAGGCCTGTTCCCTGAGCACCTGATTGATGTGCTGCGGCGAGAGCTGGCCCTTGAGTGTGACTACCAGAGAGAGGCTGCCTGTGCCAGGAAGTTCAGGTGCAGCTCCTGGGGGGTGGGCACCATTGCTTACAGCTCTCTGTGCCCTGCCTGTAGCTCTCTTGGGTGCTCTATCCTGTCCTCTGGCAGGGAGGCTGAAGGTCCTTCCTGCTCTTCAGGGCTTGGGCCCAGTGCATGGCAGGGCCCCCATAGGTTGGGCTTGACCCCTTGTTGTTTGGTGTGCACATGTGCTGTCCTGGGGTGAGGGGGGGCTGCTGCCATGGCTGTGACCTCCCATCCCCTCCAGAGAGCTGCTGAAAGACCACCCCTTCTTCTATGTTCCTGAGATTGTGGACGAGCTCTGCAGCCCCCATGTGTTGACCACTGAGCTCGTGTCTGGCTTTCCACTAGACCAAGCTGAGGGGCTGAGTCAGGAGATTCGCAACGAGGTGGGTCTGGGCTGGAGACGATGTATGACAGGGGGCCGGGGGCAGGAGCTCCTGTTGTTCTGGTGTTGCTGTGACTGGGTTGTGTGACAGGGTGGCCCTGCAAGATAGGGTGGCAGTTGCTGCCTCTTCTACCCATGCAGTACCCACGGAATCAAGAGTTACGTTCTGAGCAGAAGTTGAGGTGGTGGGGGAGTGGAAGATGAGGGGCAGGCTGCAGTCTAGGCTGGCTCTGCCCCAGACTCACTGGGCACCAGGCAGCCTTTGATGCAGGCCCTGCCCTCTCCAGATCTGCTATAACATCCTGGTTCTGTGCCTGCGGGAGCTGTTTGAGTTCCACTTTATGCAGACAGACCCCAACTGGTCCAACTTCTTCTATGATCCTCAGCTGCACAAGGTGAGCTCTTGGGTGGGCTGCCTGTGCACACGCCAGCCCGGCCCAGTCCCATCCCAGCCTGAGCGTGCCCCAGGGGCAGGGATGTGAGCCCCTCAGCCTGCCCTTCTGAACCTCGGGAATCGAGGGCTCTCAGCTTGGCCCTGAGGACACCATTCGTCCTCTGTCCATCCACCCTCCCCTGTCCCATTCCCTGACCCAGTACCACAGGGCCAACCTTCCCTTGATGTCCCCTTCCCCAGGTGGCCCTTCTGGACTTTGGGGCAACTCGGGAATATGACAGGTCCTTCACTGATCTCTATATCCAGGTACAGTGTTTGTGTAGGGGCAGGGAGGGTCCAGGCCTGGGCCCAGAGGAGTTCCAGAGGCCGCACAGGGGTTTGGGGGCTTGAGGGAGGGAGAGTGGCCAGATCCAGCCCTTTATGCCCATTTGTGTTGGTCCCTCAAGGGCTGCCTGTCCCCATGATCTGGTGACAGTGGGCAAGGCCTGGCTGGGAGGGGGTCTCCAGGCTTGGGTTTCCTGAAGGGAGAATGTAGGAAAGATGAAAGTGGGAGGCTTGTTATTGGCAAGGGTGGGATGGGATGAGAGTGATGGGTGTTCCCTTGGCCCCGAGGTCCTGCCTTGGTAGCTGCCCCTCAGCATCCTCCCTTTGCCTCCTTCTAGATCATCAGGGCCGCTGCTGACAGGGACCGGGAGGCTGTGCTTAAGAAATCCATAGAGATGAAGTTCCTCACTGGCTATGAGGTCAAGGTTAGTGGTGGTGGCCCCAGAGCTCCCATGGGCTCTGCATATGGGGTGTGGCTGCTTGGGGTAAGGGAATACCTAGGGTGCAGAGCCAGGTTGTAGAGCCCACCAGGGAGCCAGTAGCAGAGTGCTTTGTAACGTGTTGGGAGGGGTGGGCAGTAGACTGTTTTTCTTTGAATCCTAAATAAACTCACTGCCGTGGAGTTGATCCAACTCATAGCGACCCCTCCTTGGTTTCTGAGGCATTATCACTGTGGAAGTAGATTGCTTAGTCTTCCTCCTGAGGAGTGGCTGGTGGGTTTGACCTGCCAGCCTTCTGGTTAGCAGTCAAATGCTTTAGGCACCAGAGCTCCCAAAATCCTAAGTAGAACCTCAATATGTAAATAAATGGATACAGTCACAGGTGACAGCAGCACTTGAGGGACTGCTTTTAAGCCCTGGGCCTCCATGGTACAGCATGAAGGTGAAGGCCTGCCCAGCCTGTGTGCCGTCTGCTTTAGGTTTGTTCTTAGATGGTGTAGACTCAAGGCTGGATCCCTCCCAGCTCCCCTCTTACTCAGCCCATTTAGATGTGTGTCTGGCTTTATTTAGGGTAGTGTTCAGGGCTTCCAGGAGGGCTGATGGAATGGGAAAACCCCATCATCCCCTTTAGTGAAGCCTCACTGGGGAAGGAGGAGAGTTGGAAGATGTCTCAGCAGCCCTTTAAATAAGGGGGGATGTTTTGTGGCTCCTGTTACCCACAGGCAGCACTTTCCTCTCCTTGACAGTGGGGAAAGGTTAAATCTACTACCTAGTAAGAGTAGGATTTTAGGCAAGTTAGTTAGTTTTTTTGCGCCTTGCTTACCTCATCTGTAAGGAGCTCTGGTGGTGTAGTGGTTAAGGCACTTTTGGGCTGCTAACCAAAAAGGTCAGTGGTTCAAACCCACTATTCCTCAGAAGAAAGCTGAGGCTGTCTGCTTCTGGAAAGATTTACAGCCTTGGAAACCCAGTGGGGGTTACTACGAGTCTGAATCAACTCGATGGCAGTGGGTTTTGTTTTACCTCATCCGTAAAATGGAGCTAATTATACCTACCTACAAAGCCCTTAGTAAATAAATAGTAGCTCACTACTTCCTTGTCCACTGTCTTGTAGAAGCCTGACTTAATGTCGAGTCCTCACTTTACCCCCATTACTTGTCCATGTGGGTTTGCCCCTTTTCCCTGGTGTTCTGCGGGTGTGTTGTTACATACTACTACTGCTACTTCTCCGTTAGGCTCTAAGTTCTCTATGGCAGACACATGTCTTCACCTGGCACTGAGCCCTGCACCCAGCAGTTGGCCGTGTGTCCTGGGTGGTTCTGGCAAGCTCAAAGGCTATAGCTGGCCCAGTAGCCAACTTGGGCTCACAGACTGTTCTGTTTAGCTGAAACAGTGTTTTGTAAAAACTTCTGAGTCTCCTTTGGGCAGGGCTCATACTCTGCACTTTACCTCAAGCTTTAGCACTCCATTTTGTCCCGTGTCAAGCCAGTTCACATATAAATGTTGTTTTCCTGGTGCCTATGGTCTCCAGCAAGTGGAATGGACTGCAGTAGCAACTAAAAACAATAACATGGATTTGAATTTATGCCCGTTACCCTTATTCAAGAAGCTCTGGTAGCATAGTGCCTAAGGCACTTGACTGCTAACCAGAAGGCTGGCAGTTCAAACCCACCAGCCACTCCTCGGAAGGAAGGTTGGGCAATCTACTTCCGTAGCGATACCACCTCAGAAACCCAAGGAGGGGTTGCTATGAGTCAGGGCCGACTCAATGGCACATAACAACAACAACCCGTATTCAGTCTTTTAAAATAACAACAACATTATGCTGATGAGTGAAATAAGTCAATTGCAGAAAGACAAGTATGTATAAGCCCATCACTGTAAAAAGACAGAGAAGGGTTTGCTTGGGAAAGGGAACTCACTTAGTAGGTTACCGGGATGGGAAGGGAAGGGGACAGATTAATTTCAGGCTAGTTGTGGCCTACACGCTGACATGGGTAGGGGGAAGGATATATGGGAAGGATCTGTGACCACCATGATAACATTAGGAAGTGGGAGGACATCATTCCACTTAAGAGATAGATGACAGATGCTAATACCAACCAGTGTGTCAACAATACTGCATTTCCAGTAACACTAAACACCAGGCTACAGATAAACACATAATCACCTGAGATGATCAGACGGGGTCAGTGAACAGAAGAATACTCTAGACCAAGCATAGATACAGCTAAGGCTAATCTTGCACAGGCACCAGGGATACAAAATACCTGCAGTCCTTACAGAAACAATAGAAGACAGACACAGAGTAATCCCTCACAGACACCCAGACACTATGGGAGAGAGAGCCAATAGATCTACTGCCTCAGGACCATAGTACTGGGGGACACCAGACTCAATTGGTACAAAATACATAAAAGGTTGCTCCACATCCTACATTGGTGAGTAGCGACTAGGGTCTTAAAAGCTTTCAAGGGCCATCTAAGAGGCAGCTAATGGTCTCCAACATTTAAAGTGAAGAATGCAAGAAAAGAAAAAGGGCATTTAGAAGCAATCAGCCCCTAGGACATGATGCCCTTGAGACCAGAAGAACTGGATGGTGCCTGGCTACCAATGCCGACCACTCAGGAAAGGATCAAATCTGGAGATCCTGGATAGAGTGGGAAGGAAGACATGGAACAAAATCCAAAAACTCAATAATGACCAGAATTACTGGTCAGATGAAATCTGGTGAGACCACCAACGCTATGGCCCTGGAATACATTCTGCATCTGGAATAGAATGCACCCCTAGGGGCTGGCTCTCTGCCCAGTAGTTAACAAGATGTACACGCAGACCACTCAACCCAGGATGATGCACCCACATACTCTATGGTAATACATCCGTAGAGCAATAGACCATGGGACACCAGAGGACCAACATTCAAATTGAGGAAATGCAGGACAAACAGGAGTGCATAAATATGAGGAACACAGGGGGAGGGTTGCAGGGTAGGGAGGGGAGGAGACTGGGAAAATAAATAAATAAAATAAAAACAACAGCAACAAGCCCCAAGAACAAAATTCTTACCTACCTGACATTCTTCTCAACTTCAGTATGGAGCTTTCAGTGAGCATTTAGGATTCAGGCACTGAATATGGGAGCCCAGAGCCGTATAGACAGCTCTTACATCTTGTTACCATTTGCCCCTGCCAGGCCATGGAAGATGCCCACTTGGATGCCATCCTCATCCTGGGAGAGGCCTTTGCCTCAGAAGAGCCATTTGATTTTGGCACCCAGAGCACCACTGAGAAGATCCACAACCTGATTCCCATCATGCTGAGGCACCGCCTTGTCCCCCCACCTGAGGAGACCTACTCCCTGCACAGGAAGATGGGGGGCTCTTTCCTCATCTGCTCCAAGCTGAAGGCCCGGTTCCCCTGTAAAGCTATGTTTGAAGAGGCCTACAGCAACTACTGCAAGAGGCAGGCTGTACAGCAGTAGCCCCTAGGCCCCCACCTGGCCCCCGGTCACTGCCCGGGCTGGCTCTTGTGGCATGTCCTGTTCATCACGCAGGCTAAACAGTAGTAGGAGGATACTGGTGTTGATGTGCCTTGAAACTCCTTAGCCCAGTGAGGGGGGGAGGGGAGGCTGCTGGGATGCCCCATAACCAGTTCTTACAGTTTTCATTACTCTGTGGGTACAGCAGAAGCACAAGAAAGAGAATGAAACTCCAACTTCTCTGTCTAAATACAGGGCCTTTCCTAGTTTGTGGACAGTCTAACTTACGTATAGTACCTCCCTACCACCTAAAGCCTATTATATTAAAAATTTAATATAAATACAATGGTTCATAATAACAAACTGGCACTACTTTGTCATACACATCAATGCTTTTTTGTTATCATTACTACTGTATTACTGTGTTAAACATGTTTTAGTGTATCTGGAAGTGTGTGTTTAATGTTTTTTATGCATAGAAAGGTACACTATATACTGTATACTCAGACAGACATTTGCCTAACTGTTCTGACTTGGGTACTAATTTGACTTAGAGAGAGACTTGGGAACAGAACTCGTTTGTAATCCAGCAACTGGATGCTAAACTTGACAGAGATAAAGCTACACTAGACAGAGATAAAAAGGCAATTTTATTTTCCTTTTTGTAGCAGGGGTTTTCTAATGTGAATGTTCACCAGAGGATGAGTGTGTGCTCCTCTCTATCTCGCCCAAACAACAAAAATGGTGAACCACCACACACAGAAGCCTTCTTGGGCGTTCTGACTGTGTAGTCAGGTTGTATGTGTGTATGTTTCTAGAATGAGATTTGTTTTCTCTGCTTTTCCTCCCTAGCTTGTGATCTGAAGCTGGGAGAAAGTGCTGCCCTGACCAGTGCCAAAAATGACTAAGGGAAGCTCAACCTGTAGCAAGCTGATTATTATACATTTCTTGACAACTGAATGTGACCAGCAAACTTCTGCCCACATGGAAAGGGGTCAGGAGCAGCAGGTGAGCTGACACAGCTCTGTCTTCGGTGCTGGAACATGGTGGGGGCCTTTTCCCCCAGGAACCACGGGCCTTTGCTGTGAAAGATGTCACGCTGTTATACTCAAAGGGTAATCAGAGAAGGCACCGATAATTTTCGTACAATTCTTGTAACTGTCTGATTTGTTTCAATTAAAAAAAGAGAACCACCTTCAAAAGTGTTGTACCATTTTTTGGGTCCTTTAAGAATCTTAGAGAATGTTGACCCACACACGTTCTAACGTTTGGTAGCATCAATTCTTTCCCTCACAGAATAAAGGCTCTCTGATCAGATGGTGGTTAGAGCCCAAGGGGTCCTATCACAGAAAGCTCAGCCACCTTCATCTTAGAGAGGATGTGAGGAGAGGTGGCAGGAGAACCTGGGATAATGGCAATGCCCCACACTCCCATCATGCTGGGCTTCCAGCACTTGAGCAGCACACGTGGCAAAGCAGTAGCTGCTGAAGGAGCTTCACAGTGGGGTGCTGGGGATCATGGGAAGATGTACATCTGGTGGTGGACTAGTGAGATGCCCTTGCAGTCATCTGCAGTTGAACACTGAAAAGTGCCTGTCTGGATGCTAAACTTGATCTTCTGGGTAAGTATAGCATTTTGAACATTTATTGAGGGCCTTCCAATAGACCTGTGAACACCTTGAAAAGGGCATCAAAACCAGGTGCCAAGGAGTTGACTGACTTCACAGTGTTTTCAATGATTCTGATCTTTTTGGAATCTTCTGAGGAACCTCTGGGTACACACGAACCTTCAGCCTTTTGGTAAGCAGCTGAGCACATTAATTGTTTGCACCACACAGGGACTCTGAAAAGTGCATTAGGTGGTGAAATAATTTTGCAAAGATGGCACTGTTCCAAAATAAGTTCTCATACAGATTTTTAAAATTCTTAGAAAAATCTCCTTTTGAAGTAACACGCGGGGCTCAGTGTCACGATGAAGGGGGCTGAGTAGGGGCTGTGAGGACAGCACCATGGCAGACCACAGTGCAGAGCTTCTGTGGCCATTTTTTCCCCCCATGGCTGTTTTAAAGGTGATGGGCTGTTTTATTTATTTTTTAATTTTTGTGATTTGGGTGAAAGTGTTGTTGTTATTTGCTGTCGAGTCAGACTCGACTCATAACGATGACTTCTTGGGTTTCCAAGGCCGTATCACTACGATAATAGATTGCCCAACCGTCCTTCCAAGGAGTGGCTGGTAGGTTTGAACTGCCAGCCTTCTGGTTAGCAGTCAAGTGCCGTAGGCACTACGCTACCAGAGCTCCTGGGTGAAAGTTTACAGAGCAAATTCATTTTCCATACAGCAGTTCATAAACCTTTTATTTCATGACATTGACTGCAATGCCCACAATGTAACAGCTCTCTTCGCACTTCCTCCCTGTAGCTACCTCTTCCATGTCCTCCTTTCCTATGCATTCCTGACCCTTGAGCTATCTCCCTGTGCAAACCCTTCTATTCTTGGCCTTCTATTCTTGGTTTGTTCTTTAGTAAATGCTCTGGAGCTGCCCTTCAGGATAACTGTGACAGCAAAGGGCTGAGTCAGGCCAGCTCTCAGCCTGTGCTTTCACAAGCTTCTTCCCATCAAATGATCCAACATAGGAAGCTGCAGCATGAAGGTGAAGGGAGACTGAAAGTAAATGCACAAATATTTGTTTCTCCACAAACCACTAGCTGACTGCTTGGATTTGCTTCCCAAGAGGAAATGGAATATGGCTTTATCTACAAGGTGGCTGAAAACCAGAAGCCTCCATGTCAAGAAAACCATGCAGGTCACTGGATTATAAACGATTCTGATCCTGGAGCCATTAACGTCTGCTCTGCAACTAACCATGCGTACTTTGACTTTCGGACACATTCCTGATTTCTACGGGACCCTGTGTCTGAATGACCAGACCCCTGTACCTATCCATTCACATTGGAAAGCATAGCATGAGCGTGTTCAGGAATGTGACTCACCAGGGCCCTGCCTTGTAGCCCCCACAGTTGAAGGGCCGGACATGCTAGACATTATTCTAAGTACTTTATGTATTATAAACTCTTTTGCCACTCAAGGTAGGCATTTTATAGATGAGGAAACAGGCTTAGAGGTTAAGTGGTTGGTGAAGCGCAGATTGGAACAAGATAGTCTGACTTGGTCTAGTCTCAAGTAAGGATCGATGAATTACAACCTACAGGCCAAATCTGCTGCTCTTTCTTTCTTACAAAGTTTTACTGGAACACCACTATACCATTTACATACTGTGTGTGGCTGCTTTCATGCTACTATGGCAGAACTGAGTAGCTGAAACAGACTATGCTCCACAAGCTGAAAATACGTAGCCCTTTTGCCAACCCCCATTCTAAACCATTGCCACACTGCTGCATCTCAAGCATGGCATATGTTATACTTAACCAACATATCAGTAACAGAAATGTAATTTAAATGATCAGTGAAAGTGGGGAGGGTTCTTGATAGAATATTTACTTAGCTTCAGCCACAGTGTAAGATTTCCCTGATTTTGCCTGTGTGTATCCTTGGATGAGCCATTTTTACTCAGACCGGAAGCAGTAACACTACCTCTTGTTACAAGTGCCTAGTGACACTGCTGCCATGTACATACTGTCTAATGTGACAGATGTGGCTGTGGAGAGGAGTCCTCTCAAGTGTAGCATGGACCCTGCTGGCAACTGCACACAGCAGGGTCATTCATGGCATCTAATGGAGAGGTTAGGAGCTCTGGTAGCATAGTGCCTAAGGCACTTGACTGCTCACCAGAAGGCTGGCGGTTCAAACCCACCAGCCACTCCTCGGAAGGAAGGTTGGGCAATCCTACTTCCATAGTGATACTGCCTCAGAAACCCAAGGAGGGGTCACTATGAGTCGGTGCTGACTCGACGGCAAACAACAACAACAATGGAGAGGTTGATTTTGCAGACTGGTAAAAGTATTAGGTAAATTTTGACCAGGAAAGGGGAGGTGAAAGCTTCCAGAGAATTTATCACTATTCTTACAGGAGCTGTGGCAGAAACAAGGAGCTCTGGGGCTTAGCACCTAAGGCATTTGACTGCTAATCAGAAGGCTGGTGGTTCAAACCCACCAGCCACTCCTTGGAAGACTGGGCAATCTACTTCCATAGTGATACCGCCTTGGGAACCCAAGGATGGGTCATTCTGAGTTGAATCAGACTCGATGGCACTGAGTTTGGTTTCTGGATGAAAGAAACAAAGTCCTAGACTAAGCCAAACTGGGCAAACTAAGCCTACGTCCTTCCTTAGTACAAGGAAGAAGCCTGGATGAGGAAGCGACCAGAAAGCAAGGTGAAAACAAGACATCAAGCATCAGTCATCTCTTCTCCATTCCTCAGGCTTCTTAAATGAGGGGAAAAAATTGACAAAATACTCGTTCTAACAGTTCCCTGTTTTATTGCAGTACATCAAAGTCTGGTTAATATTAAGTGATACCAACATAAAATATTGGTGAAGAGTCTTCTGTTTTAGACTATCCCACCTTAAATATTTCTGTGCAAAAGAATCCACATCATTGTTTGGTAGCAGAGAATCTCTTATAAAGTTCCCCAAGACATCGAGGGCGTAAAACCAAACAAAATAGTGATAAGAGGCTGAAGCAGTATCTTTCCCCCTTCCATACACACATACTTGTCAGCATTATATTCTAAACAAAAAATGATTACATCTAGGCCATGCAAAACTGTACAAGAATATTACAATGAGAAAAAACTCTAAAAAACTTATAAAATAAATGATATTAAACTACCAAGTAAAAGGCAGGTTACTTTATGACATTTCAAGGTTGATCTGTTTTTGTCAATTTTCCCCAATAAATGAGGTGGTTGTCATGGGAGGAAGGCAGAGCCTGGCCTGCTGGCCCTGTGCAGGGTAGGACCGGGCTCTAGCCTGCAGCAAGGCCCTATCTGATGGAGCAGGACGCCACAGAGAACTTGACTCTTGACTCACTCAGGAGTACTTGAAGTCATACAAAGAGGTACTAAAACCGGCTCAATGAAATGTCAAGCGGTTTATCTAATTCAGGAGCTGGGGCCGGTGGGGAAGAAAAGGGCCCAGCTCCCAGCTGTGCCCAGTGACCTGGGGCTTTGCAGTCTGACACGCAGCTGTAGTGGCAGAGAACCCTGGCTGCTCTAACTGCCCAGCTCCGGAGTCCTTAGCAATTCCCTGTCTGGCTGCCAGATGACAGTGTCCCTGACTACCTGCAAGGGCTAGCGAGCCGCCCTGGTGCACCAGCGATGGGGACATCTGCCGGCCCCCTCTGGCTTTTCTTTACTGATACCTGAGATGCCACACAAATCCAACTGGTTTTTCGGAAAGGGATGTGGCTGCTAAGTAACAAATGGCATGTTTTTAACCATAGGGAAGGCAGAGAGGCTGGGAGCCAGCAGGAGGAGGACAGATTGTTGTTGTAAACACAACAGGAGTTCCAGATACTTCTGACACTTGGGTGCAATTGCTTCGGAACCAAATAGATGCAGGCCTTTGTTCAGTTTTATCTCATGGACAAAAGCTGTGCTCTGTGGGAAAGCGAATGAGTCACTAAGACTAGGTAGATTTAAAAAAAGTGTACTTTTGGTTTTGGCAAAAATGTGTGTGTAATATTTGATACACCCAAAGCACATGACAAGATTTGTCAGAATTCAAGGGTAGACGACCAATTGGCTGGACTAGCACCGCATACCAACACACACAAACTACCAGAGACGCCTCGGAATGTATTTTCCTTTCTGCTGAGAACAGAAATGAGTTCCTGCTGCCATATACATACATTTAAAATACACTGCACTCAAACCAATGATGACTTCAAACAGATATATAATACCTCTTCTGTGATCTCTGTCACTGATCCCTTTGAATAGTCAAATTTTCCTGGCCTATTCCCTGTCTCAAGATATTCTCAGAAACTTCTGAAGGGAGCCGGCTTCCTGTATTTAAGGATGTGGGATAACCTGTAGGAGGATCATCATCTTGGGAAAATTGCCCCCAAACCCTGGCAGAGTTCCTTCCCTAAAGACCTGTTTTCAGAATCTACATATATTTGAGTCTGATCGATTGTAAGTGCTGAGACCACTTATCACTGTGGAAGTCAAAAACTGCTGTGGTGCACCTGTGTCCCTGGGTTAATGTTACCAAGCTGCCCTGTTAGCCTGGCCGCCAACAGGCCTTCAGTAGCTCACGCTCATCCTCCCTGTTGGGGTGTGTGTGAAGAATATTACTCACTATAGTGGAGGCCAGACTTTGGGTGGGTTACATTTTGACCCTTAAAAGCATCCTCTAAAAAATAAGCACCTACAAGCAACAAAAATTCACAATTAGCTGTCAAGACTATACAAACGATTTCAGAGACAAAAAACTAATGGCTTAGTGGAGGATCCGATGGCTCTTGGCCTGTGCTGTGCTTCCTCTCCTGCCTGGGAAGATAAAGAGGATAAGGCAGAGGGAAAGAATGGAGGAGAAACAGGCGAGGAGGGAGCTGGTTACAAGCACTCAGCGATGGGCAGGCTGATGCTCTTCTCTCCTTCCAAGGGCCAGTTTATGGACTTAGAATCATAGGGCAACAGCCAAACAAGATCTAACACCACTTGGTGTCTGGATGTACAAAATAATTTTTAGATACTTTTCAAAGCAAAATTATTTGGGAGATATTACAGGGTGCAGTGAATTACGTCCACGATCAAGGAAAATATCCAACTGAAGCAAGGGCCGAATCTAGGTGTTTATATGGTGAGCCTTTCTCTGTGTCTGAACCTCGTTTGGTGAGCACTAGTGTCCTCACAAAGTAGCATGACCCTGGGCTTGAAGGGCTCATTTGGTGGGTTAGTGGGTGGTGGGCAAGCAGCTTGGGCTGCTGCTAATTAATGAAAAGAATGAAGGTGCTGAAAGCAGCAGGAAGCTTAGGGCTCAAACACCTTGATTAGCAAGTGCAGAAAGCCTTTCTACTTTGCTGGATTTTAAAGAAGAGAAAATGTGGTTTCTGTTTCTCTGGGAAACCTGTGAGGAGAGGCAGATTCTCTTTACTTCCTAGAGGTGTTTTAATTTTTAACCCTTTCTCTACTCACGTGCTTCACTGACTGGAGAAATAAAATTCTAGTTCTTCTCATTTCCTTGTGGCAATGAAGACAGCGAGAATTCAAATGAACTGTACCTACGAGGATTGACCTGGAAGGCTCTGCTGGGCTAGCTTGTTGCCTGAGCACAGGGTTACACATCCATCTTCTACTGGGTGTGGGAAAGAGGATTTGGTTAAGGGTGTTCAAGTCCTTCACATTTGACATTTTATATTATTTGGTAATTACAATTTTCTCCCAGGCTTAACTGAGGAAGTGCAGGTTACTGTTAGTACAGAGTTGATTCTGCTTTGCAGGGTTTTCAAGGCTGTGACTGTTCGGAAGCAGCCTGCCAGGGCTGTTCCGGGCACCCTGGGGTTGGTCGAGTTGCTGATCTGTTCACCAGCGGGCCAGTACTTAACCATCCACACCACCTAGGGCCTCCCACCCACCTCAACAAGACTCCTCCTTTAAGAAGCTTGTCTCCAGCTCCATGGTGCAGAAGCCTCACTGCAATTTAGGGAGGGATGGTATTATCTCAGAAAGAAACACTTTCATGAATCTTTTTTTTGTTTTTCCTCTAGACCTTGGAAGCTACAGCACTGTTGTGCCTTTCAGACTGAAGGGATTAGAAGGTGGCAGAATCGTGTCTGACATTCTGCACAAAATATAAGAGTACAATAAAAAAGAAAAAGCATGGTTCAGAACTCTACCACTAGAAAGGAAATGTTGTGGACAGAAGTGAGTTTGCTGTTTGACGATGCCGCTGAAGCTACCCTCCAAACCAGTGACATTGGTGTCTAGACTGCTCACTGCCCTGTGCAACCAGTCTGAGGACTGGGCGCCAAGGGAATGTGACCGCTCTCACTCGTCCTCTACACAGAGGCCTCTCTACCCTTTCAATTACTTTAGCTGGAAAACAGACAAGAAACAACACATTTCTTTAAATTAAATGATCTCTTTCTCTTATATATGCATCCATTTTCTGTTGAGTACAAGATGCTTCTTTTTAATATATACATTCAGTATTTAACTTCTAAATTTATGTATTTATTTAAACTCTGTATTGTAGTAAAATATGCACTGTTTGCATTAATAAGGATTTTCTGGCAACAATCAGGTGAACATTCACTTGTGGTGCTGAATGGAAGCTTAGTGCGCCACCTCCAGGTGCGACTCTCCCCCGCCGACGAGGGATCTCATGTGCTGTCTTAGTGCTACCTTGAGACTCTACTGTGAAAACAAAACCTGTCTAATCTTATTCTTATCACTTACATTTTGTAATCTGTCTATTTAAGCTACCTTTTTGGGGAGGGGATAAAATATTCAAAGTAACTACAAGTGTATGAAATGAAGTCAGTATTCATATAAGCTGCCTAATGAAAAGTCTGCCTTTGTAGTTGGTGCTGTGGAATCTGGAGGGGCGTGCAGCTGTGTGTCAGAAGTCCCAAGTCTCCACCCTGCTACTGCTGCCAGCCCAGGTCATTTTCAGGCAGAGATGAAGGGGAGAGATCAAAGTGAGGGGGTGAGGGGAAGGAGCTACGCAAGAGAAGCAGCTGTGGTGTCCTGGGATCTGGGTGCTGAGCACTCACGGGTCCCAGCTCCCACGGTCAGTGCTCTCTAGAGAGAGGCTCTTGGTCTTTCTGGGTGAAACTGGGCTGGGAGGGCTGCTCAGGTTGGAGCTGTTGGAAGCTGTGGAATGCCTCGGAGAATCAGAGTCCTGTAGAGAGGAAGGCAGCTGTTAATGACACGCAGAGGGGGAAGGAGGGGAGCAAGAGAGGCCCAAGCATCCCTGAGCATCCTCCAGCCTCTTGACCAAATAAACACCTGAGGTGGCTTTTTCATTATCATATTAAATAGACCCCTGAGTTGAGTAAGACACAAAGAACACAACAAATACAGCCCTCTATGCAGGCCTGGAGAAATGCAGGTTATTTCATACAAAAGTAATCAGAAGCTTGAAAATCCCTGGGAAAACTGCAGTTTACAATCTAAGTGACTGGTTTTGCTGTCCACTGGCTAGGAGTCAACACATCCCCTAATGTTAGTCTCAAGATGGAATGACTCTGGTAAACGTACCAGTCTTTTTAATACACTATTTCTACAGACCCCTGTCTCTAGGCACAGCCATGCCCACGCTCCACTCACCTCCCCGTCATAGTCCCTCGCGGGGGCATCGCTCCCTTGGTCCATGCCTCCAGAAGACAGTGAGCCCTCTGATGGGGAGGGCATGGGCTGCCGCTTTGTGTTGTAGCTTCCTCCAGAGAATTCTCGCTTTAATGCACTGCCATTCTGTGCAGACGACCCTACAGTACATCATTCAAGCAGAACTTTGTATGTGCAGAAGAGGATGACCCTCTAGGAAGTACACAGACAGACTGCTGAGGTGACCAACCATCCTCCCCATTGTTGCAGATGATCCAACCCCCTCCAGCTTAGAGCCCTGCACTGACGACAGCTCCTGGTCAGTCCACCTGGTCACCCCGGTGCCAGGGCTCAGCTTCACAGTTCAGCCTTCTGCCCCCCGTTACAGCTATTACTGGGACTGTCTCAGTGCGGCTTGCCTTTGCGCCTGCTGCACTGTCTGCTTGAAACATTTGCTCACCACATACTTCCCACTTAACCCTGTAAGTCCCCACTGTGCTCCTTCCTTAGGGAGCCTTCCCCTATGAGACCCGTGGGGCCCTTGGCTTCTCTCACATATCTTTCACAGCACACTGTGTTATAACATGTGTGTGCCATCTCCCTGATCACTGGACCGCCTGACTCTCCAGGGCCAGCACAGGGCCTGGCACAAAGCAGATACTCGGTGGTGCAGGCTGGTGAGGCAGGCAGAGCAATTCCCAGAAGGAAAGACTACTCCACTTGATGTCTAAACACCACCCGAGTTTATTAGATAATTTTTACAAAAAAACAAAGGAAACATGAAGTTTATTCATTCCATAAGGCAAGAAGCCTCAGATATAAAAATGAGGTGAGTTTCTTAAGAAATCACACTCTTGATCTTAGAGTCGGGGCACATAAAGCCAACATGAAAATCAAGAGTGAATGAAAAATGTTACTAGGTTTGCTAGCTATTGGAATGTTCGATATCTGCTAAAATGGACTATAAGAACTTTTGTTAAATCTAGTAAAAATGTGCATGGGTGTATACTAATAGCTTTCTGATTTTGCTTTTTAAAATTTGCTACATGAAAAATTTCTAATGTTTGAGGTGTGTAGTCGTTTTGCCAGACTCATCTAAAGTCAATCTCTGTCCTAATTCATCATCAAGTCATACTGTTTTACCTCCAAAATATATCTAGAGATTTATTTTGGCCATTTCCCCTGCCGCTGCTGTATCCTGCGCCATCCTCAGCTCTCAGCTGGACCCGCTCGGAGCCTGCTGCCCGGACCCTTGCCTCCACCAGTGCTCACCTCTCATTCATTCTCCATTTGGCAGCTAGAGTGATCTTGAGAATGTAATTCTGATGAAAGCCCTCCCCCACTGAAAACTCTTCAAAATTCGCATTTTGAATAAAATGAAAATTCTTACATTGGTCTCAGTCCTTGCTTGACCTGACCTGACTCTTGCTTCTCTCTCCCACTTTATTTTTACCACTCCCTCATCACTGTCACCTAGCCAACGCTGGCCTCCTTTCAGTTACTCAAACATGACTCAAACCGAGGCACGTCTCAGTGTAAGTATCACCTTTTGGGGAGGTAGTATACTTTTAAAAATTATTCTAGGTATGAATTCATCCCCAACAGCTACACCTTGTTATTCTCAAATACCACACGCTACTTATTTCCTTCTGAGCATTTATCATCACAGCTTGTGATATTATTTGTCTGCCTCTCATTGGATGGTAAGTTCTATAAGGACTCCATGACTATTTTCTTAACAACCGCACTTGCACCTACTGGTTTCACCCAGTGTTAACAATGAGGCCACTCTAATTCAGGGCGCACACATGAGCACATGCACAGTCATATGTCCAAGGCCTTAAGGACACGCGGGCAGCAGAGGGGCCTTCTTGCAGCCCAGGCCACTTACTTGCTGACAGGCCACTGCTGGCGCTCATGGAACGCCCTGGCTCAGGGCGGGACTTGGTGATAGATGGAATACTGACTGAGCCACTGAACACTGCCCGACTTTCCTGAGGCCGAGGGTTCTAAAAATAAAAGAGAAAGACAATTCTTCAGCCAGAGAGAAATTGGTTTTCTTTAGTGATGTCTATTTTTCAGTATAATTACCAACAGAATTATCTTGATTAGAGTGATACAGAGCAAAGAACCATAAACCCCTCCTGACCACAAAAGCAGTCCCACTCCAAAAGGCAGTACAAGCATAAGTATTTATCCTGACATTTACTAAACATCTTATCAGATCAGATCAAGGCTTAAAATACTTATCAGTAAATAAGAATTTCTTGTTGTGAGAACAGAAAGTAAAAGATATGTGGTTAGCAGTGACAGTGAAGTGTAGAATTACATGGACATTTGCAGGTAAGTAAAACAAAGCTTTCATTTGTCTGAGGTATTTATTTACCTAGGATAACCGAATAGCTGAGTAAATAAGTCCATCTGGAAGGAAGTCAGCTAAAACTATATTCTTCTCAAGTAAATGCTTTATTAACAGGGTACCAAACATGTCATTCACCTGTTCATGATCCCAGTCACCAGGCGTCTTTACTGATTCACACAGAATAGCAATATGAGTTACTAACAGGATGTCTACCACATCACAGCCCAGGCAGGAATATTTAACTTGGGAAGACTGGCCTGAGAAGCATTCTGTCTTGTTATTGAATGATTGTGGTCATTCAAGGTAGCAAATAGACCATAGACTGTCAATCCCTGCCCGTAGGGAAGAGTGTGCTAAGAGGTGTGGGGATGACCAAGACAGAGAGCACACAGCCTGGATGGCCCTGAGCTTTCAGATCAAAAGAAGTGTCCAGGCTGACCAAAGTCCAGATTTGGGAAAAATCTTTCAATATTCCTTATAAATCCTGGAGTAGGCAAACAACATGTACCATACTATTAGCATCCCTTTTACCCCTCACAATACTTTCTTCATTTATAAGCTGATTTCAGTCTCATATAAGCATTTTCTGATGCAAGTGGTTTGGATTTCTTACAATTTCTAAACATATATTTAGAAAATTTATCAACCCTTATTAAGTTTTCCTTAATAGCAATTTTACTACCCCACAGTGTTTATATCAAGTAGCCCATCCTTCCTTCTCTGGCACCTTATAAGGAGACTGTGACATAAAGGCAGCCCACGTATGCTACACGACTTAACAACAGAAAGCCTTTGGCTGATGAGTTACACCCTGAACCTCAGTGTTCTCATCTGTGTTATGGGCATGACAGTGATCTCATGGGGCTTCCCTGAGGATTAAGGCAGCTGTAGTAACAAACATCAAAGCACTTACACCATCTCTGCTATAAGCTTTTCTTCCCCTGCTCTGCTAATAACTCCACAAAGCAATCTGCAATCTCACCTTCACCTTCTTTTTCAGTCACATCAAACAGAAAATCTGCTAGGAGGAGAAATACAATTTTTACCTGCATTAAGCAAAATGGTAACTCCATAATGAAAATAATCACATTTCAAAAAGTAGTCAAAAATTCAAGTTTTGTGACTCCTCCTAAGCATCGGTTCGTTAAGTAAAGCCAGTTAATCTAACTCTGAGTTAGAGACTGACACGCTACTTCCCTTTAAGAAGGGCAGGCTCTCTCCACATGGTGCTGTAGGGTAACTCTACTGTAGATGTGCTGTCACCTTTCTTACTGATGGCCATGGCCACCAACAGGTAATAAAAAGTAAGTAACCGTCAAATATGTATTTTTTAGCCTGTAGTTCTCTAAGTATTAACCAATTCATTAAAATTGTTTGTTTGATTCTGATTATCAAAGGGAACACTCACTGACTGTAGAATGGAAAATAGTGAAATCATAAAACAGACACAAAAAGTCATCTTTTGAATTTACCAGATACTATCAACAGTTTAGTATGTTGCCAGCCCATCATTTCTTCTAACACATTTTGTTTCTCATAGTTGACCACACTGTAGCAAGCTTTTTCTCCAAATAGCACAGAATATACAGCTAACCAGTGTATTTTAAAACACTTTAACTGTCTGTCTCATTTTACCAAATCTTTTTTAATCACTTGGAGTTCATTAAACAATACTCTATCTTCTGGCATTACTGAAGGAGAGAAGACATCAGGGAGATATATCCACATACCTGTCAGACACTGAAAATCACACTGTTCTTTGACTTACATTATTCAGCGTTAACATAAATCTAATTAACCTGAACACTTTGCAAGCTTCAGCCACAGAAAAGGCCTAAATGTTTAAACTATATTATATATTTACTAAACGTCTTTGTTCCTGTCCTTTAAACATAGAAAATAAGGTGAAAACTTTTGGTAGACACTCTCTTACCCTTATCACCACCCACAGGGTCCTCGGCTTGAAGTGACAGTCTAGTTTGCTCTGGTTGTTTACTAAGCACATGGTTTTTGACTGTTTCTAGTCTCATTTCTTCGATCACTTTAGCACTTCATATACTGACTGCTGTTATGACAACACTAATGTTCAGCATCTAAAACAGTGACTAATAAGTATTTCTGAGCCTTTCTACAGAATACACAGTGTTGTAGTTAATACTGGTTTGATGTTAAAACTGCATGTGAATATGTGTATGTGTATGTTTTAAGGATACAAAATACATTTTATTTGTATTGTTTGGGCAGAATAATAGTATCTGGAAATAAATGAAGAAAAAATATTTTGTAGCTACAATTGAGAACATTTCTTTATTGCTTGGTCTTTGAAACCTAGAAAGTCTCCAATATTTATGCTCATTTCATTGCACTCAGAAGACCTATATACCATACGATAGGAAAGGAGACAGTCATCTTTTCTAAGAGTTAGCATATACACTGAGTTATTCAACCACTACCATTTTGGTACACATAGAAAGTTTGCAAAGTCCATGTAATTCTTTTTTTTCCCCCTCTAAGAAAACAAACAAACGAATTTTTTGAAATTAAAATAGTCAGTGCTAGCAAGTCAACATTCACACATACAGGATCAACCCTCTAGGGCACATGCGCACAAGGCAGCAAAGGAAAGCTCAAAAGAGGTGGGCTGGCCATTTCCAGCTTGGTATTTTTAGATGCTTTTTTTTGTGACACTGAAGATACCTCAGTGGTGTTTTTTCCTATGAAACAAACTTACCCTAGAATAAATGGCAAAAATGAAGGCCATAAAACATATCAGTTGCTTGGTAACATTGAATGTTGAGGCAAGAAAGGAATGATATACAGAAGAAATGTGCAAGGGAAAAATGTAAAAAAAAACCAAAACAGTTTGTTATTCATTCAGCTAATGCTGTACTTCATTATAAAGTGACATGGAACTTAAGCTTCTGGCCCTTTTCCATGTACAAACATTGTTTACATAAAATTAGGGCTCAATCTCCACATAGAGTACAGTGTTTCTACTTATAGATGACGAGCAAGATGGACTGACACTGCGACTGCAACAATGGGCTCAAACACAGCAACGACTGCGAGGATGGCGCAGGACCAGGTCGTTCCCTTCACTAACACAGAGTCGCTATGGGTCGGAACCGACTCCGTGGTACCTAACAACAAACAACAACAACTTAAGTGACAGTTCTGTCATCTTTTATATGAAAAGTTCTTAAGTGATTAAGTTATGCAACATTTCTCTGTAATCTTCTCCCTGAAATCTGTTACCAAGCAAATGAAAGCTTATTTTAACTTTTATCATGATTAATCTTATTTTGTCAAATAAGATATTTAAATGACATTATCATTTAATGCCAATGTCAATGATATTTAAAACATTTTAGTCCAGAATACTTTTTAATACAAAATAAACACATCACCTTCTCACATTATAAGTTCCTTATTGGAAAATAACTTTACCATACATACAAAGGGAGCGCTGGTGACGTAGTGCCTAAGGCATTTGACTGCTAACCAGAAGGCTGGCAGTCCAAATCCACCAGCCACTCCTCAGAAAGAAGGTTAGGCAATCTACTTCGTAGTAATACTGCCTCAGAAACCCAAGGGTTGCTATGAGTCGGCAGTGAGTTTGGTTTTTGGTTTTTTAATACATATAAATGAAGATATTGATGCTACTATTTCCTAAGCCAGAGGACACTATGAGAAATGGGTCCACGTGATACAATCCTAAGATTTTATTATCTGCAAAAATAACATGAGAAACTTTCTCTTGAAGTTGGTATAAACATATTAATAAAGTTATTTGGTTTTAATGGTCACCAGCTCTCATCCCATGGCACAGCCCCAGGAACAAAGGCATGAGGCTGGTGAGAGGGGCTGCAGCAGAAGCCATGGTCCCTCAGCCTGTGGCACACTTTGCTTTTCTTCTTTCTTGGATTTAATTTTCTTATTTTAGGTCCTGGCTAGAATTAGAAGCATTTCAAGCAGCTCAAAGATTAGTATACCTTCTTGTAGTTCTTCCTGTTACTAATTAACAGTACCATGGAGACTTTTAAGCTTTTAATTACAGATAGAAGATAGCTGGACAGGCCTTACACAGACTCTAACCTTGCTAAATATTAAAAAAAAAAAAAAAATCCTCTGAATTGAAGTGGTTATATAAATGATTAAAAAAATTCAGAAATTCTGGGAACTCGTTTTTTGTGTGTTTTAACAGAATAAAGGCCCACTCGGGCTATTTCTTCTGATAGGATTTGTAATAGAAAATATGGTGGGAAAATCTTTCATTAAATATCAAAAAACCTCCAATATTGTTTCAAAAATAAAAAAAAAAATGAAATTTGAGGAAAGAGTAGGAGGAAGAGGAACATAAAGAGAGGAGGAAAAGGAAGAGTAGAAATTTGGCAGAATAGAAAGAGGCCAAAGGAAAACACTCATAAAACGGTGCCACCTCGGCAGTGTTACTTTGTTAAGCCAAGCAATAGGAGATCGTATGTGGTTAGTAGAAGTTAACACCTGACTCAGCTGTTCATACCCTCAGAGTCATAAAGCTTGGTGTACCGGGGACAGAGCGTAGAGACGGGGAATATTCAGGGTTTATGGAATCAGGAGAAAGAAATTTTTCAGCAGAATTAACAGTCATGTGATAGATGTGCTCAAAGTTGATCGGAGAGGAGATCAGACCGGAGTGATGATGAGGGGATGGATAAGGGAAACCTGGCTATCAAAACAACAGAAAGAAGAAAAAACGGTAATAAGGTAATGAAAATGGATCTGCTAGTTACATGTGACATATCAGACAACATGCATATAGAGAAAATGAAGTACTAGCTTACATCAGAACTGAATCCTTAATGAAATACTTCTAAGTTTTAGAAAGTTAAACTTAGTAATTCTCTTGCCAGTTACTTAAATGACTGATTTGTAAAAGATCATTCACCTTATGAAATTAAGTCTAAGGATAGAGAAAATAAGAAACAGTTTAAGAAAGGGACAAGTGAATCTACAACTAGCTTCTAACTAGATGTATTTTAAAAAATTCTTTCCTTGGAAATCTGAACCCATGTAAAACCATTTCCTGGTATTTATAAAACTTGTATTAATGCGTTTGTTCTTACTGATCTTATTCTCCCTTTAACAAAAATAGTAACTGAGGGAATATGGTAATTGTTGGCTTACCTTTAAGCAGCTCAAGCTTCTCTCCATTTAGATAGATACCCAAGAGAACACATTCGCTTTTACCAAGGAAGAAAACCATGCCTTCTTCCCTTCAATGGTGAGGTATATATTTTTTAAAATAAAATAACATAATACTAAAGTTATAGGAAAAAAGCTTTTAAAACCAAGATGCTAGTGTTTCATAAAAAATAATTTCTGAATATTGAAAAGCATCATTTAGTGCCCAATCACCTCTTCTAATGGGAATTTTCAAGGTCTGGTTCTTGATGTATAACTATGTTTCCAGAAAATATCTTCCAATCCTTCACTAGAGGGAGAGGTTAGACAGCTTGCTGGAGAGAAGGCAGCATGAGACCAGCATGGCATTTATCTTCTCATGAGTTGAGATGCACTTGCTTTGTAAACAGATCTGGTAAATTATCTAGGCTTAAAAGAAAGGCTCCTCTGTAAAACAGTGTTTTTAATTTAAGAGATATGAATGAGATCAGTACTTTCCAAGGTTGTTTCTAAAAAGAAAATCATTGATGTAAAAGTTGTAAGTTTAAGAAGCAAAATGACTTCTGAAAGCCATGAGAGGTCACTGAGCTCAAAATTTTATCTTTACTAACCATTTTAGGGAAAGGCAAGAAATTCAGATGCAAATAAAGTGACTAACCACAATGTTATCTGAAGAAATGCAATGGGTCAAAAATAAATCATCTAAGGGTAAAATACTATTCTTGAATCCAACTGAAAACAAAACAAAACAGTCTTTTATTGCCAGCATCTACTAATGAAAAAGGTAAATGATAAAAAGGATTCAGGAACATGAATATAGTCTGTATTTCTATGACAGAAATATAATTGCTTATATTCTCTTGGCTCACCAAGACACACATGAAAGGTTCACATCTGATACGAGGGTAAGGTTAAAAAAAAAAAAAAGACTCTCTTAGTTTCATTGTCTCTTCTATACTCATGAGCCAAGCAACTCCACTTCAGGTTCATTTTGGTAAAGAAAACAATCAAGCTTCTAAAGGCATCCAATAAACTCTTTGAGCTTGTAAGTATTTCACAGGAAAACAATACTGATCTGAGTAAGTTAAAACATAAAAATGTCTGGGGTACATTCTGTTTGCACAGATGTAGGTTTGGCATTTGAAATTCTTCTTATATATGTTAATATTAGATAAACTTATCTTCATTTTTAGAAGAATTTATTAAATAAATATAATTTTATTTCAGTGGAAAGAACATATTAAAATCTGAGACTATATTAAAATATCACACATTTTTCAATAAACAGATACATACACATGCACAGACATACATATTATATATTTTTTCTAGACATGTGTATTATGTTGTTGTTTACCAATGTCTACTTTGAGACAAGTGTGATTCTGGGCACATAGTAAGTGGTGAAAAAGTATTTTTTAAATGATTGCATGAAAAAGTCCCAGCTTATATGTTCTTTGTAATGAAAAGAAAAAAAAATCACATGAAAATAAAATATAGCTGTGAAGAACAGAAATTCAGACACATGATACATACTACATATACAGGTAAAGAAACAGGTTGTAAAAATGTCTACCAATTTCTTACCTCTGGAAAAACAGAAGTTTTTATTACTTGATTAGAAAATAGTTAACAGACTGGAAGGAACATTAACAACTAGATTGAACATAGCTAGGTCAAAAAGAAAAACCACTTGAGCTAATCGCTTGAGTCAATTTAAGGAAAATACAGAATCAACAAGGTGGCCATGGGCTAACAAAATCAAGTGACAGCAGCTATGAACAATCAACAGGCTTAACTATGTGTTAAGGAGACAGCTGAGGGATGAGACTCTGGAAAACACTGTCTGAACTTGTTTTGGTTAGTACTAAAGACTAGATCTCATTTTGGAAAAAAAAGATTTGAGTGGTAGGAGATTGAGAGGGGAAAAAGTAAAGGAAGGAAATTTGGGTATAAATGTACTTGCAATGTTTGAAATAGACATATTAGCTTCAGGGTGCACAGTCATACTGTATATTAATGTCTGAGTGAATTCTGGAACATTAGCAAATTGATTTCTCACCTGATGGCAGAACAATACCAAGCAGAGGAACATTTCATTAATTCCTGAGGCTTTTTCAAATTAAGGAAGATACTGTAATATTTGGGATATAATAGAATTTCTTAAAAAAAAAAAAGTCTACAACTCTTATTATGTTATTGAAATACATGAAATGAAAAATATATCTTTCTATCAAAATGAAACAAGAGTGAAAGAATACCTATTAAAACCTTGTTAACTACTAAAACAAATTTACTATCTGCTGATATGTTGCTTTGCAACATACGTATTTGAAATTTATAGTCCTCTATAAGGTCACTTTATATCAGGTATTGAAAAATATTTACTAAACTTAAAAAGTTTAATTAAAATAAAATATAACACTTGATCTATCAAATATGACCTATAAATATATTCAGTTTTTAACTGTTTTCACAATTAAAAAATGTTAAGATATTTTGTGTCCCACATTGTAACCTCCACAAGGAATAAAGACAGAGGCTTTGGACTATATGGTTATACTATGTCTACTTTGGAGAATAAAAGAAAACTAGACTGAAGATTTTAAGCAAATGTTCAAAATAAGAAAATAATAGAAAGATATCTGAAATCTTATTCCCCTAAAAAGGCTGAAAAAATAGTATAGCTTTTAAGTATGATGGATAAGTAAAACAGTTTTAATATTCTACTAACTTAGTTTTCATTACTATATCAAGATTAGCTGTAATTTAGTTTATAAAATATTTATTTACATTTACTCATCATAGCCAATAAACATGAATGATCTGAATTCCTTAAAGGAAAGAATTTGGGCATCACCATATAATAATAATGCCCTTGATGTCGATGAAAAGAATGATGACAGTAAGAATGTCACATTAATTCATACGCAGGGCCAACTGGTTAAGTGGGATATATATACAACTTAGAACTCAAACTCAGATTCCAATGAACACAGCCTTTTTATTTCCTTCCCATGAAACAAATGCAAAGCTTCCTTTAAAAACTTATTACTTATTTAAATTAAAAAAAGTAAGGAATGCATATCAAACTATATTACCTATCATTTTCTCTGTGTCAGTAATACTTGTTTATATCTTCTATATCACAGTAGAATTGGCAGTGTGAGTAATTAAGATAGATTTTTCTTAGAGCTTTGGGTCAAGGTTCACAAATACGCTTTCAAATCATGATAGGATATACACTGTTAAAATTCTGTGTAGTGTTTAGCTGCTCTCAACACTGACCAAAAGGCTCACGATATTAAAATTCAATAGTTTCATAGAACACTATTACCAAAATGTTAAAAGTCTAGATCATTAGCTAATTCCATGGATGCTTTAAACCTCAACAGCAGCTCTGCTAATTCAAACTTATATTGTTAAAACACAATAGTTTTCCTACATTGTGCTCTTCTTTATGTAAGAGTGACAAGACAACATGTATGTTGGGCAAAGCAAACATTGAATTTCACAGCCAGCTAGCTGACCATTAATGGCATGACCATTAATGATCAAGCTAATGTAGTTCTTTGGGAAAATAGAGAGAATGATTAAATACCTGTATTGAATTGCTAAAACTCAGTGATTGGTCTTAGTAGAGATCTTCCTCAGATCCTGCAGTTTCTTCAACCAATTAAGTCTACAAATGGGAGATGTTTATAGGGCTTGGGACTAAAGAACTTAGCTTTGTTTGTTTTTTTGATCAGGTTTTGACAGATGTTTAAATTTTATGTTTTTTTCATAAGGTATTCATCATGCATCTTACACACATCATGATATACTGAGATAAACATTTCCTCCTTAAATTTCTTTTTCTATTATTACACATATATAAATATTTACTCCCAGCTCCATCCATGTTCACATCCTCTCCTTATTCTGCTTACCATGGGGAGGTCTTTCAGAATCTGAATTCCATCTCCTGGCCCCATGTGTGCTATGTGGTTAAAATTAGTTGGGTTAGAAATCAATTTGTTTCTCATTTCTGGATCGCGTAGCATCTCTCTGTAGGATAAAACACTTGTTTAGATACTTTTTCCATGATAAATCTAGAAAACTTAGGGTAAAAAATTAAGCATATTTTATTATTTTCTATTTATTTTTTAAGAAAAAAAATTTATAAAAATAAAACTATAAAATCATGTAAATAAGCATATAAGTAAAAATAATAGAAGTTGAACATCTACACTAGATGGATACACTCCTTGGAGAGACCAATCATGGGAGAATAGAAGGGCTGTATATGCACAGGGACATAGCTCAGGGGGCAGGAGTTCATGGAGGGAAGGACACCACCCATTCCTGATAAAAACTCTCAGAAAAATAGGAACAGTCGAGGAATCCATCGACATACTAAATGGCATATATGCAAAACCAACAGCCAACATTATTCTTAATGGAGAGAGACTGAAAACCACTCCCCTTGCGAAAATGGGATGCCCTCTATCACCACTTCTATTCAACATTGTACTAGAAGTCCTAGCCAGGGTAATAAAGCAAGAAAGAGAAATCAAAGGCATCCAAATTGGTAAGGAACAAGTCAAACTATCCCTATTTTCTGATGATATGATCCTACGCATAGAAAACCCAAGAGACTCAGCAAAAAAACTACTGGACCTAACTGATAGATTTAGCATAGTGACAGGATACAAGATCAACCTCCAAAAATCAGTTGGATTCCTCTACATAACAAAGAAATTGCTGAAAAGGAAATAAGGAAATCAATACCATTTACAATAGTTACCAAAAAATGAAAAAATAAAATACTTGGGAATAAATCTCACTAGGGACACAAAAGACCTGTACAAAGAAAACTACAAATTAGTACTGCAAGAAACCATAAAAGATATATATAAATGGAAGGACATACCATGCTCATGGTTAGGAAAATTAAACATTGTGGAAATGTCAGTACTACCCAAAGCAATCTATACATTCAATACAATCCGAATCTAGATCCCATCGGCATTCTTTAACGATATGGAAAAACCAATCACTAATTTTATACAGAAAGGAAAGAGACCTCGAATAAGCAAAACAATATCGAAGAAGAACAAAGTAGGTCTCACATTCTGGGATCTCAAAACCTACTACACAGCCACAGTAGTCAAAACAGCCTGGTATTCATACAATGACAGATTCATACACCAGGGGAACAGAATTGAGAACCCAGAAATAGATCCATCGACCTATGGTCAGCTGATTATTGACAAAGGGCTGAAATCCATTAAATGGGGAAGAGATAGTCTCTTTAACATAGTGCTGGGTAAACTGGATATCCATTTGCAAAAAAATGAAACAAGATCCGTATCTCACACTATACACATAAAGTCACTCCATATGAATCAGACTTAAATGTGAAACCTAAAACTATAAAGTTCCTTAAGGGAAAAATAGGAGCAAATTTAGGGACCCTAATTTACGGCATAAATAGACTGTCAAGTATAACCAAAATGCACATATAGCTGAAGATAAACTACATGAATGGAATCTTCTAAAAATTAAATTTTTATGTGCTTCAAAAGACTTCTCCAAAAGAGTGAAAAGAGAACCCTACAGATTGGGAAAAAATATTCAGCAATGACATATCTGACAAGGGACCTGTCGCTAAAATTTATAGAAAACTCCAACACCTCAACAACAAAAAGATCAACAATCCAATTAAAAAATGGGCAGAAGACATGAATAGACACTTCACCAAAGAGGATATTTAGGAGGCCAGCAAACACACGAAGAAATGCTGATGATCATTAGCCATCAAAGAGATGCAAATCAAAACAACAATGAGATACCATCTCACCCCAGCACTGATGGCAAAGTTCAACAAGACAGAAAATAACAAATGCTGGTGAGAATGTGGAGAGATTGGGACTCTCATACACTGCAGGTGGGACTGTAAAATGATACAACCACTGTAGAAAGCAGTATGGTGATTCTTTAAAAAGGTGGAATTAGAAATACCATTTGACCCAGCAATCCCATTACTAGGTATATATCCCTAAACAAGTGAGAGCCAGATATGCACACCTATGTTCATCACAACACTATTTACAATAGCAAAAAGATGGAAACAACCTAGGTGCCTATCAGCAGAAGAACAGATAACCAAACTGTGGTACACACACACACAACAGAATACTATGCAACACTAAAGAATAATGTAGAGTCTGCAAAATACCACGTAACATGGATGAACTTGGAGGATATCATGCTGAGTGAAGTAAGTCAATCACAGGACAAGTTCATTATTGTAAAAAATCAAGGAAAGGTTTACATATGGAAGGAAATGTTCTTTGTTGGTTAACAGCAGTGGGAGGGGAAGGGAAGGAACACTGTGGGAAAAAAAACGCATTGACCCATGTCACTTCAGTTGTGTGTGTTTCACTATACATAAAATATATTTCAATAAAATGTACTACAAAAAATCAAAGAATCTCTATTGTGTTTTATAGATAATTCTGAGCAATTATTTAAAAATAATTGGTAACATTCTAGATGTTTCTATATGTAACAGGAAATCCTATTTCTGTTGGCTCATGAAGAGAATAGTTAATTTTGAATGTTTTAAACATATGCAGGCTTACTATATGCATAACTATAATCTATGTTTATATCATAGAAGGGCATATATTTCAAAAAGTGTAACTATTCCATTTACTTACAAAAATGAATCAAAATATCATACTTCAAACAAATGCACATCACAACTTCTGAGAAAACTGTTACACTAAAAAATTCATTAGTGTAGTTTTTGACACATTGATGAAAGAGATTTCTGAGATAAAATTTTCCTTCCAAATGAAATACAGTATTATTATCAAATAGTCCTTTAAATGCTACAAACATGTATAGACAATAAATATAAATTAAATATCTACCTCCTCTGTTGCATCCTTTCCTCTTCTGGAACTCTGAAGGAATAACGCCGCTTATTGTTAATATTTCTAACCATTTGTTTCCGACTATTATCTGATGTTTCAGGAACTACCAGTTCATCCCCTTCTATTAAAAACAAACACAAAGAATAATCATGTTTTTCAAATTGCTAAAATGCTTTCTGTCTATTAATCCCCAGAACAGTGCAAATGTTAGTCAACTGTACAAGTATATGCAGTTCTGATTTATAAAAGTTGTGGTGATAATCACAGTATATAAGCAAGAATTACCAACCAACTTATGTAAATAGATGTATGCTGAAATAAAGCATAGCTATTTTTATTTTTATTTCATTTTAAGTATTAAGTGCACAATTTTACTCAAAGAAACATGTAGGTGCCTTGGTGCTGTCACTTTGATTTGCTACCCACCCTCAACATTTTTAGACTATCTTTTCTAAGTACTGATTTCAATAGGTGATGGGTGTTAAAAGCTCCTATTGCTATGCTGCACATTAATCAGGCATAAATGATAAACTATTCATGTATATAATCATATTTAAAAATTACTTTTACATAACCAAAACACTTCCTTTATAAGGTTCAATCTGCAAAATGTAGAGTAAGGAAAAAGTACTGTGCTTCCACTACCTTCTTTTACCTAAGGTAAGAATCTTTCACTAGTTCTACTTTTCTGATCTTGGGGATAGATGATACTCAATTATATAAATTAGGAGCCCAATGTCCATCTTTTCATGTTCCAGTTATTAATACCTAGAAGTAAGTAAGTTTGTCAGCCAGGGGCTCCCAAACCATGCTGGGCTATGTGAATATACTCTAAGAATAAAACAGATAATGTATCCGTAACCTATCAGGGGATGCTATTCTCTATATAAGATAAGGAAAAAGAGAAAAGCCAATCTTTAGAAATTTTTAGTAACAAAAATAGTGAAATGAAAAAGAGGTGAGAAGAAGCCAAGTGGACCTGTAGGGCAAGTCAAGGTAGTAAATGATTCCTCAAAATGTGCCAATTTCCTTATAATGTAATGATAGAGCTTAATCAGATTACTTTCTTAACAACAAACATTAAAATAAAAGAATTTAAAAGTAGATGAGAATGTGAGATATAATTTTGGAATTTTGAGATTTGTGAGGATAGATAAGGTCTTGATGAGTTATGGCAATAATAGGAGATTCTGAATAGCCAATGGGCTACAGGAGCACTCTGAGCTCCTGAAAGATGAAGGAGAAAAGCAAGAAAGGGAAAAGATCTATGGAAATGGGATTTCCTTTTCTTTCCAAAAGATAAGACAAGAATATTTAAGTTTTGTCAGATCTCCCTTCCCCAAGCTCTACTCTACTCTAAGCCTAGAGCAGAAGGGTGAGAGCATGGGCAAAGACAAGTTAGAATACATTTTTTTCCCTATACAAACTGGGTATGTATGTATTTTATGACCAAAGTGGTCACACACAGTGAGAAGAGAGTGGATCTAGAAACAGAAAACAGAATGGAAGTGAGGGGTCTGAAACGTAAACTTCATTGGCTCACTATATCATTAGTTCATGATAAATCCATTGCTGAGTGGGAATTGTTTCTAAAATCTGAATATTTTTCTCAAGTCCTATTGGAATACCATCTTTGTGTAGGACTTCCGCTACATTTACCAGTCTGTATACAAGAGACCTTCAGTTCCAAGAGGATGCAGCAAAGCACAAAACCAGAAATCAATGTATCTATTTTAGTACTTAAAAAAGCCCACCAAACCCTAAACAACAACAACAACATAAAACTTGTGATGGATATTTTTATGATAGCTGAGGGTACAAATTTATTGATGGAATACGGGGGGGGGGGGAGGAAATGCATAAATAAGATAATCTCTCTACCCAGAGTTAAGTGATATAAACATTTTGATGTGTTTTCTTGAAGCCAATGTCTTTATTTATATTTAAGTCAATTTAATTTTTTCTTTTAAATGAATAATATACTATAGGTTGGGCAATCTACTTCCATACTGATACTGCCTCGGCAACCCAAGGAGGGGTCGCTATGAGTCAGGTCCGACTTGATGGCACATAACAACAACAACAACAACAACATCAACAACAACATACTGTAAGTACATTTTCATTAAATAGATTCATCACAAGAGGTCAGAAATTTATGAACAGCTCTGTTATGTAGATATTAATTACTAAGACATGAGAATAACTATCATATAATTATATAGAAGGGGTCATTATAATATTTGTTGTAAGTGACATTTTAACTGTTTGGGCATACTCTGACTGGCAAAAAACTGACTTCTCTGGATCAATGACACATGGACAACCTCCCTGGCTGGGGAATCACCTCTTGAATTTGGTCACTGACCAACTGTCCCTCTCTTCTCTGCAACTCCCAGGGTTCCCATTTCCTCTGCTGATTCTGGGTTCTCCTGTGACCTCCCTCTTTTCTTGCTTCTTCCTATGTTGTCATTAGCACTTGAGAAATTCTAAGCCCTATGATAGGCAGAAGATGTATTCTTGAAGTCTCAATCTGGAACTGTGGATGAGTTTTCACAATTTCAGTGCTACAGACTTGGGTAGATTCTACAGTATTGGAAGTATAGAAGATACATTCAGCTATACTTTCTCTTTTTATAGGGACTCACAGAAAAATAAAAGGGTTATGCCAGAATCAAATATGTTCTTTATATAGCTATGTGGACTTAACCTGAATGAATTTTTTTTTTATTGTGATTTGGGTGAAGATTTACAGAGCAAATTCACTTTCCATACATCAGTTCACATATACTTTGTCTCATGTCATTGACCAATTTACCACAATGCAACAGCTCTCCTCCCACTTCCTCCCCATAGTTACCTCTTCCCAGTGTCCATCCCTCCATAC